TTACCTGCCTGTTGCTACCGGGAACCTCGCCTCTCCGTTGCAATTTTTGGTGTGTTTTCTTGGTGACTCAGAAGGGTCCCATCCTTTCTCTGGGTCCTCATAAGAATTGCCAACTTCTCTATGCCTCTGTTGCTCTCCCCTATGGAGTCACACCCAGTTCTTCTTAAAGCCATGCTGAAAGTTCCCAGGGTTAAGCTGAGACTTTCCACAAAGTGTCCCCAAACACCTGACTCATCTTGGTGGTCCTTCTGGAGGGTGGGGCAGATGTTAGTTGTCCCTCCTCACAGACAGGACAGTTGAGGCCAGTAAGGAAGGGCAACAGGATGGGACAACTGACAAAGCCCAGACCCCTCCTTCATCTCAAGCTTCCTTTGTCTCCCCCTGGGCTCCTTTCTGCCCAGATCTTTGAGCAGCACAGTGGTGTCAAGGGACTGGCTCCTGGGTCATCTAGGTTTGAAACCCCACCCCCCTCCCTGTCAAATGACAACTGAGCCTAGGAGGGATTGGGTGGGGGAGGGAGCTAGTACATTGATGGAGGCTGTCTTGGGGCTGAGGAGAAAGAGAAAAGGTTCTCTCCAAGGCTAGATTCTTACCCTCCACAGTTCACCGGAGGGAGGGAGGTGGCCCTGTCCTTTTCTCTCTCTTCTCCAACATGCATGTTTTGATCCCGCATAGGACTACTTCTTGGACTAGATCACCCTACCTATGGAGGACTTAGCTCCCCTGCAACCCTTCTAGGCCGCCTTCTGTAGTATTGGCATCTCCCCGATGCTGCCACTTTTTGTGTCCTCTGTCCCTGGTTCTGTGTTGACCTCATTCTTCCTGTCACCATCTTTAGGTAGAAAGTCACTAGAAAGACCCAGGCTGAGTTCTATTATTTGCTAGGTGTGACACGTTGGAAAACGTAGCTAAGATTCTTTCTCATCACCAGCTGCAATCTCCTCATCTGCACAGTGGGGTCATAACACCTACTCTCATAGAAGCTAAAGGCGTGAAGTGTTTGAGGATGTTCTTACAGACACAAGTGGTCACTGCAATGCATGAATTCCTTCACTAGAAGGAAAGCTCGCTGGGACAGGGACTCTTTCCACCTTTCTGAGCCCAAGGTCTGCCACAAGGTCTTAGATGTCGGTTAGGTGACTGTCAGGTAGGTCAGAGAAGATTATCAGAGCCCCAGCAGAGGAGACAGCAGGAGGTGTTAGAGGGGAAAGAGCGAAAGGGAAAGTGGAAAGAGGAGATTGGGGAGGAAAAAGGGTGGAGAGCCAGCACTCGCTTGCACCACCAGAAAACCTACACAAAACGCAAGGTGTGGACACAGATGGAGAGGATTTTGTAAAGCAGAACTGTGCACACATCCTTCAAAATTCAGACTTAAAGACTATCTGATCCAAACCCTTTCTTTAAGGGGAGGAAAATAAAAGTACATGTGGAGAGACACTTGCCAAAATAATATGTAGGGAGCTAATGGCAGACTTAAGAGAAGAATCTGATGAGTCAGATTCCTGTGTGATTTGGGGCAGGTTAGTTTACCACTCTGAGCCACAATGTCCTCATCAATGAAAATGCGGGCTAATAATGCCTCTACCTCGAAGGCTTATTAGAAGAATTAAATGAGATGATGTTCATAAAGTTGCCTACATGTGCCTGGTGTGGGTAGGAGGCTCTGTAAATAGTACTGGTCCTGCCCTCCTTCCTCCAGAGCCCCCCTCTTTCCTCCCTTGTAACTGAGGATACCATGTGGCCAGTGTGGTCAAACGTCACAGGGTTAGCTACATTGGCACTTGGGGCTTTTCAGTGACAGACCGGGGGCTTTTAAAATGTGGGTAGTCAGCCTCGAGACTGGAGGAAAAGAAACAACAGATAGGAAGGTAACACAAAGAGCAGAAAAGCTGATAGTTCAGAAATCTAGACATAGCTTGGCTTCAGTCATGTAGGGGGCTTGGGTGGGGCAAGGGTACTAGGCTGAGATTCCAAATCTTGCCCGGTCCCTAGTGCTGCCACAAAGACCCTGAGGTCTTGGGCAGTTTATTCTGTCTGAGCTTTCTCACTGGCCAAGGAAAGTAAGGATGAGCTGCCAGCCAGGTCTCCTGACCACTGGGAGGTCTGTGTCTGGGCCAGAGGAGGCTCCCTTTGCATTTCTGTTCAGTGTGGATGGGACATTTACTTCCCTTTCCAGCTCCCATCCCTCTTTGTACCCTAGGGGATTTCACATAGCACAGACGGTGCTGTTAGGGAGCAGGGCTTTCTAAGTCACCTTTGTTTATAGTTCCTTTAAAACCTGGAGACAAACCACCCCTTAATACATGCACTGCTGGGAAGGTGAATCTGTCTTTTAAAAATCCAAAGGAAGCCATTAAACCAACTTGGTAACCATTGTGACTCATAATAAGCTTTCCTCTGTAAAAAATGAGTCAGATCGACTTTCCAGGAAGTTTGGTTACTTTAATTAGCTGTCTTTTTTTCCTCGCCCTTAAAAACATGCAGTAATTTGAGGATCACCTAAGTATTGATGCTACTAGCCAGGAGCCCCCAGTGAAAGATGGGTGGTCAAGTTCCGGCCAGCGCTGTCTCCTAGGAGTTGAGGAGGACCCGGCAGAATCCTTTCCCGAAAGGTGAAGGGAACAAAACCAACCTCCAGGCTGACCCACTCAGCCTGAGTGAAGAGGAGAACGGCCCAGAAGTGTTCACAGCAATGCACATTCTGTATATGACAGGATCACAGATTCTTAGTGATGCCCTTGGAGAGAATGGTGATCCCAGCTGCCATGTGCCAAGCACTGTGCCAAGCGGTTTAGATATCATCTCAAGTACCTCTCAACCCTCTCTCTTAAGTCGGGCATTAGTTTTCCTCCTTTACAAAAGAGATGAGGATTAAGGGTCAGGCTGTGAGGCCAGTAAGCAGCAGAGTTGGGAATTTTACCCCAGGTCTATTTGATTGTAAATCCAGTCTCTTCAAAGGTCATCTGTTCCTGTCTCCAAGGGAGGCAAAGTGGCTGGTCTAAGGTCACATATTGAATTGGCAGCAACTCTGGATGAGATTCTGAAGGTCCTAGTCTGTGTCTGGATTTCTTCTTCCTTAGCCTACTCTCTACATGTGCCACAGACCAGGTAGGAGGCCAGAATGTGCTCACATTGTCCATAACAGAGGAACCTTCCTAACTCACCAAGATAGGAACTCCCTCCCTTTTCTGGCATATCATTCAGGGTTCTACGTGGCTCACTCTCACTCCTAACACCATTGCCCAGACTTGGCCACGGTAACTAATAACCAAGCAACAGTGCAAGCTGGGTAGGTATGATATTTTTCCCACGTGGTCACTCTCTTACCCTTGTTCCCACATAGATGGGGCAATGAAGCCCAGGTGAACAGAGTTGACTGCAGCAAACCTATTTCCAGGAAGGGTTAACCCAATTCCTCTGGATCCTGGATTGATTTTTCTCTAGGGAAGAGTGTCAGTGTTGGGACTGTGCCTATTACTCTCCAGCTGAACTGAGTTTAAAACCTCAGGGTTTTTTTAGATTAAAGGGAACTTTCTTCTCAACTGGGAAAAACAGGTGCCCCTTTCCACAGATTATTGATAAAACATACTCAGCTAATAAATCAACTGAAACACGGGTGTAATTGGCCCACACTCTCCTCAGTCAGTCTGGTTCTCTGTACACGATGCAAAGCATGAGGACTGTAGCTTTATGCACATTGCTACCTGTAGAAGTGGACACTGTTTCAATACTAAATTGAAGAGCAGAAAAGTCTGTAGTCAATGCATCCTGCAGATACCCCCACAAGACCCCCAATTATCTTGGTCCTGATCCTGAGTCTTTTAGCTTCGAGAATGGAATGAAACTAGACTACTTACTCTAGAAGACTTGAAAAAGATTTTAGCTCTGGGGGACATCGATTCTCTTCCACTTCTAATTTCTATGTCTCTAATGATCCAGATGAAAGACTAATTGAGGTTTGGTTGGGATGCTATTAAAGTTATTTGGTGGTGTTACAATATTATACTCATCTTTTTTTAAGTTCTTTTTAATTATATGGCACTTTCAAAGCAAGGCTCAAACTATGGAGGTAAAAAATAGAGAGCTATGAAACTTTCTTCTTGCCAGGCTCGGTGGCTCAGCCTGTAATCCTGCACTTTGGGAGGCTGAGGAGAGTGGATTGCCTGAGCCTGCAGGTTCGAGATCCACCTGGGCAACTTGGCGAGACCTCATCTGTACAATAAATCAAAAAAGACATGAGCTGGGTGTGGTAGTGCGCACCTGTAGTTCCAGGTACTTGGAAGGCTGAGGTGGAAAGATTGCCGGAGCCCAGCAGGTCGAGGCTGCAGTGGCTGGGAATGGCCACTGCACTCCAGTCTGGGTGACAGAGTGAGGAAAAAAAAAAAAAAAGAAAGAAACTTTCTTCTCAATTCTCTCTCTCTTTTTTGAGGGGGGAGGACACGGGTCTCACTGGTCTGTAACTCCTGGATTCAACTTATCCTTCCTCCTTGGCCTCCTGAGTAGCTGGGATTACAAGCACCCTTTCTCTTCTTTACAAAGCAAAGTCATCTCCAGGCATCAAGTCTCCTTGTCTGAGCCAATTTACCACCTACATGCTCATGACATGGAAGAGGCCTTTTTGGCTAGCTCCTTGAATAGGACTGTTGGGATATCTGGGGCTAAAAGACCCTGGTCCCCGCCCATTAGGACACGTTCTGCCTCTGTCAGTCTTGGCAGTTGGAAGCACAGCTGCTCCTGAACTTTTTTGGGGGGATTTGTTTATTGTTAAGAATCTGGCCTTTTCCTGGCTAGTTCCAGAAGTTTTGTTCCAGGATACACCAATATCTGCTGTTCAAAGCCTCCAGGGTCATACCCCGTGTCTCCAGGGAATCCCCTTAGTTCTTATGACCTAGCTTTTAGGTCAGACTGGCTGAAGAGATACCGCATTGTTCAACTATTTCCACCAACTCTCTCTCAGCCCCTGCTTCCCTGTCCCATTCCCCAGAAGAGAAGACCCTTACCTGACTCCACCTGGCTGAGAGAGCTGCGTGCATCTGTGGAATCGGCTACATCCCCACTCATCTTGATATCTGCAGGGAAAAAACCACCGATTTTTAATAACAGGTCACAATTTTTCTTGCTATGACATATGTGGCTTTAACTAAACGGCAAAGATGAATGTGTAATTACAACAACCATCAGACTTTCAAATTCCTGATTCCCGAACATACAACCATTAGAATATTCATAAGCTTGGGGCCATGTATCCCCTCCTCCTCTCCCTGCCTTTCTCAGTGCTACCGCAGGGTCTCTCACCTTTTACATCATTCATTGCCACTTCCTTCTATCACCAGGACTCAGTTGGTAAAAATTTAAAGGGGGATGGAGGTGGGGGGAAAGACACACTTCCTATTCCCAACCCTCATTTCCTTTGAGATCTAGGGAATTTATTTTACTTTTTTTTTTTTTTTTTAAGGAGCATAAGAATGATCCCTTCTCTCCTCCCCAGCTCTGTGTCCCATAATAACCTTATGCTGGAAGGTAAAAGTACCCTTAAGCCAAGGCTTGCCCTCTCACCTTTCTTCCACAGTTCCTGCCTCGGTTCTCTGTCTGGTCTCAGAGTTCAGCCTACTGTCTAGGGATCAGACACTACTTCTGTGTCACCCTCCTTGGAGCCTGTCCCTTGAAGATCCTTACCTTCTCTCCCAGGCCTTCAGCTTGCTCAGTGAGAATGGAATGGCGGGGGTCAGTGCCCTGCAGAAAGAGAACTATACCAGGCCCCAGTCTCAGCCCCCAAGTACTGCTGGTCCGGCCTCTCTGCCCTGCTTCATTTCAATAAATTAAACATTTACCCATAACAGACAGCTGCCACCACCTATGAGGCCCCCAAGTCTCCTCTGGGGTCAGCAGAGGGAAGGAAAGAGGCAACTTTGAACTAACTCACTCTCTCTCTCTCTTTCTCTCTCTCTCTCTCCCTCTCCTTATTAAACCACCCAAAGACTGAAGCGTTAAAGACAGAAGAATATTTTATTCAAATCATGTTGACCCCCCCCACCCCCTTCTCTGGGGCAACACTTTAACTCTTTCAAACCAGATAAAGTCTTGGTGATCAATTTGCATACTCGGCTCCCCAACCAATCCTAGTCGAGCAGGCGGTCTTAATTTGCATCAGGTAATCAGGCAGTCTGGATGCCCGAGGTCTGGAGCTGATCAGGATGAGGGAAATGGGTAGACCTCCACCCCAGGAAAAGAGGGGAGAAAACCTTTCTTTGTTTTGTTTTGTTTTGTTTAGGGCAATAATGTGTGTGGCACTGGCGGAGATTTACACCTTTGGGGTATAGAGGCTGAGATGCCAAGCAAGAGAGAGATGGGGAGTCTAGAGACTTACAGCCCTTTTAGAACACCCCAGAAGTAGAGGAGGGAGAAAGGCAGCCTTAGGAGTCATAGTGGTTTGATGAATTTTTTGAGACCAGACAAACTGTAGGAAGACTCCTAGGTAAATACTTGGAGCTCCAAGAAGCCCTCCCCAGACAATCCACACCATGCAGTGTGATCACAGAGCTCTAGGGGAGACTCTGAACTCATACCCCCACCCCTCCAGGGGTACTGTATTAGGAAGGCATTTCCTAAGCCTTCCTGCTGTAGTCTCAAACTTTCTTGGCACAGTCTGCCCCATGCATGGATATGCAGAATAAATAGCGTGGGCCACCAGGACGTTATTTGCAAAGGACCTCTACCACTGCTGGCCTCCTTTCTCAATGGAGAAATGGGCTCCTCTCCGTCCCACCCATGAAGCACTCTCCTTGGAGCTGGACACTGCCTGACACAGACCTGCTCAGCTCACACTTCACCACGGGGGTCTTCAATTGTAGGGGGCAAGGGGAAACCTCAGTCTGACACTGCCAGGAAGGTATGGAGGGAGTTCTTCCCCTCTGGTGGCTTCAACCTACTTCAATACTGTGGGAATTCAGAGCATAGGTTTTGACAGCAGGCAAACCTCGATTTAATTTCAGTGCCATCACTAGCTGGCTTGAGGTGGGCAGGGGGAAGTGAGGGAAGCCCTAGGCACATATTTGAATGCACATTTTCTCATCTAAATAATGTACTTATTTCTCAGGGTGATCGTGAGAATTAAATGAAAACTGGCAGACACAGTTCCAGGCACAAAGAAAGTACCCACTAATGAACTCATCAAACAGACAAACCTTCAGGCTTGAGTGCTAGTCCCCTTCCCCTCCCACCTTCTTCTCCTGCCCCTCCCCTAGCCCTTCTATTACAAGGGAGAGCTTTGGTTTTCTGTCTCAGCACCCCTGTCATTTGTCCTTTACCTGGGAAACCATTAGCATCCTCCAGATTCTGACTTTATAGGTAAAGTGTCCATGGGGATAGGAAAAGGTGAAGAGGCGGTGAGGCTGGGATAATGCCCAGAGTTACTGAATCAACTTACTTCAAACTCCTGACATTTAAGAAGGTAACTCTTGAGCTAAATCATAATTTTATGCCTAGATCCCAAACTCTCCTCCAACACCCATCACTTTCAAATACACCCAGAAGCCATCTCATTCATCCTCAAAATTAGCTTAGAAGTTAGTCTTGGCTGAGCTCGGTGGTTCAGCCTGTAATCCCAGCACTTCGGGAGGCTAAGATGAGAGGATTGCCTGATCCCCGGGGGTTCAAGACCAGCCTGGGCAACTTTGTGAGACTTTGTCTCTACAACAAATCACAAAAAATTAGCCTGGCATGGTGCTGTGCATCTGTAGTTTCAGCTACTTGGAATACTGAGGTGGAAGCATTGTCTGAGCCCAGCAGGTCGAGGCTGCGGTGGCTGTGAGCGTGCCACTGCACTCCAGTCTGGGTGACAAGAGTGAGACACCAACTCAAAAAAAAAAAAAAGTTAGTCAAGTTAGTCTTTATCATGTCTAAAAATAACTTTTGAAGCCATCCAAGCCCGCTCCCCGTCCCCACCATGACATGTATTCATTTGATGTACCATTACAGGAGCAACATGGCAACACCAGGGATTTGAGCTTGCAAGATGACCTGTAAAACCTCTCTTCTTGAGTCCCATAGGATGCTAAGACACTGAGAACCTGTTCCTGCTGGGTAGGAGGCTAAGGCTGATGGGTGGGATGGGCCCTTGGGTCTCAGCCTAAAAATGGGCCAACACCGAAACTCCCCGAGATGCTGTAACCCTTCACCTGTCGGACAGCACTTGCCAGGGGTGAGTGAGACAAGTATGGGGTGGGGCCAGGCTTCTCAGTATTCTTATCTCAAACTGAGTAGGCTCCTTGCCATCACTCCCTTCCCTGGGGAGGCACAGCTGCTGCGTGTAAGAGCCCAGATGCCAGATGTAGACCCTCCTCGGCCTCACTTGGCACCACCGCACCCTGGAGCTGGCCTCATCCCCCTTAGGCTTTGGCAGGACCAGCAGGAGGAAAGCCCAAGGGGCTACATTTTCTTCAAGCTGTGGGATGAGTATCTTGAACCTCCTGGGACCAGGTTCCTCTGGGAAAGCAGAGGCCCCACCCCTCTCTCTCCTAGTGTCCATCTTCATGTCCTTAGAAGGGACTGGAGCTCCCTCTAGCTCTTCCTCACAGGTGTGGTGGGGTGGGGGGGACAGAGAGGGACATCAAGGGACCACTTCTGAGCTAGCCAAGGCTCCAACTCTCCCCTGGAGAAGACTTCTCTTATCTCTTCTTGCTGCCACACTCAGGTCTTTTAACCCAACCAGTATTCCTGAGCTCTAACTGGCTCCTAATCCTGGTGGGGAACAGCTCACAGTGAGGAGAAAGGCAGAGAAAGAGACACCCTGGGGCAAACCAGGTGTCCCCCCTCTGGCCGGCTTTCCACTGTTTTCCTTTGTCTCTTCTCTCCCTCTCTGGATGGCTGGCTCTTTCTTGTCAACTCCTCTGCCTGTTTTTGGCCTTGGCACCCCTCCTTGGCTGGGGAGCCCCGTGTTTGGTGACCTTACACCTGCTCAGGTCTCATGCTTCTGTGTGAAATGCTCTATAAAGTACAAAGCACTGAGGCTTCAGGAAGACCTGAGTCCTAGCCTGCGCCCAGGTTATCAGAGCAAAAAGAAGGGTGACCCAGGGGCTGCCATGCCAGTGGAACCCTCTGAATGGGAAATCTGGTAGCTAGCCAATGCCCTAGTTTGTGTGTGTCTATTCCTCCTCCAAACTTCCAGTAAGTCAACGGAGGAGTCCTCAAGGGCCTAGGACTGGGAATCTACAGGGCAAGTGTTGTTATCAGCAGGACACAGGATGATTGTGGATGGAGATGGGGAGGAATAATAGGACTCAAAGGAGACCAGGTTTCTACAAAGAGGATCCTGGACTAAAGGACCCTAGAGAGAGGCCCATAATGAGACACTCCATAGAGGGAAGGAGGCCCTCCCTCACAGACCCCACCTGACACTTTGGGGGAGAGCTAAACCCAAGGTGGGCTGATTCCTCAGGGTGGGGTCCCCCTCTACCTCGGACCCTAGAGAGAGGCCCTGCTGCAGACACTCCATAGAGGGAAGGAGGCCCTCCCTCACAGGAGGGCCCACCCTGAAAGGCCCTAAAAGAAGACCTCAAACTCAAAAGCCCACCAAGAGGACCTAACAAAGTGAGCCCTCTAATAAAGACCCAGTCAGAGCGACACCACAGAAAGTCCCAAACTGAGAGACCCTTTGGAGGTGTCACAGAAGGGGAACCAGACACTGCAGAGGGACCCAGACAGCCCTGAGGGGAGACAGTAATGGACTGGGGAGGGGCAGCATGCCAGGGGAAAGCTGAATCTGGCAATCTACCCCGAGGTAGAGGGGGACCCCACCCTGAGGAATCAGCCCACCTTGGGTTTAGCTCTCCCCCAAAATGTCTGGAATCCCTGCCCACAGGGACGGGGTGGAGGAGATGTCTGTGCTTCTGAGAAGTGTCAGCAAGAAGCTCACTCCCGGAGAAGGCATCAGGAGTTTGGCCCTCTCTCTCTCCTCAACCCCATCCTCTCTTCTCCACAGGATCCTTTTAGCCCCTTAGGCTGCTTCCTTGCTGGGACCCATCTGACCCACCTCCTCTCTCCTCCCCCAGAGCAGGAGCCTCCAGTAGAC